TCAGCTTTATAACTTATAGAGATCTCTTGTGTGATTTTTCTCTGGGACTAAACAGCTGGGGAGCTGGGCGGGACAGAAACCCTCAACAAACAAACAGGCCCCCTCATGTTACATGTGTGTGTGCTGTGTGCATGTTCATGTTCACGTGCATATGTGAAAGCCAGAAGCTGATGTCTGGAGTCGCCCTCAGTCATTTCCCACCTATTCTTTGAAACAGGATCTTTCACTGGGGACCGACCGGCCACTGAGTTCGGGGGAGCAGTCTCTGCCTTCCCAGTGTTGAGGTCCCACACTCATTCTGCTGTGCCCAGCTTTTACATGGGTGCTGAGGATTTGAACCCAGACCCCATGCTTGCCCAGCAAGCAGCTTGCCACGGAGTCATCTCCCCAGCCCCACCATGCATAGTCTGATCTGCGCCTTGGCTAAATTGTGCCGTGACAGCGCGTGACGGCTCCTTTTCCTCATTTTCCAAGCTGCGGCTTCCTGAACAGGGTTACGGTGCAGGGGTGCTCAATAAACATCTGTGGATTGCGGAAGGGAATGAGGGAGGGAGAGAGGAGAAGTCATCCTTTCGAGGAGCCGGGAGGCGTCCATCTTGATCGCTATTAGATGCAGCTTTCTCAGAACCAGCCCTCCTCAACTCTCACATTCGCTGTAGCTCTGTCACCCGTCTGTGGTAGTTAGGTCGTCTTCACAGTGACAGCCACAGCCCGGTGCAAGCCTAGACCAATGCACTTTCCTCATCTCCTTCCTTCGCACCCATCTGCCCGAGTTGTTCTTCCGGAGACTGTTCGAAGAGCCTAGCCTGGAACAGGAGTCTTCCAGGTGGTAATGGCGGTGATACTGGGTGGTGATGGAGGGGCTGCGGTGGGAGGGGTAGTGATGGTGAAGACAGTCGTGCTGTGGGAGTGACAGTGAGAGGTGATGGCGCTAGAAGTGGTGAAGTGGGGTGCGGGTGGACAGACGATGGCCAAGGTAACAGTTGGATGGAGGGGACAGTGGTGGGGGTGGTGGAGATGGTAGAGGGTCGTGGTGACGACGGTAATGACAGTGATGGGTGGTGGCTTTATTATTGATGGTGATATGGGGGTGGGGTGATGGTGATGGTGGTGGGATGGTGATGGGGGTAGGGGAGTAGATTGTGGGGGTGATGGTAATGGTGAGTGATGGAGATGATCATAGTGATTGATGATGGTGGAGGGGTGGAAATGGTGCTGCTGCTGCTGCTGCTGGTGGGGGTGGGGGTGGTGGAGTGAGGGGGATGATTATGGCGGGGGTGGTGTAGATGGTGGGGTGACGATGCTGGCATATGGCAGTGTCATGTGTACCTCAGGATGTTAAGCAGCACCTGCGGCATCTTCCTGAAGATGCTGGGAGCTCCCACAGTTGTTACCAGTCAAACATTTCCAAACACTGCCAAGTGTTCCCTGGGCAGAGCTGCACGCTTGCACTCAATACATATGAACTCTTGTGCTTGATTCAAGGCTTGCATGCTGACCCTGCATGTCATCTGGAGATTGTTCTGAGGTGGTCAAGTTGTCCTCTGTCCTTCACCAAGACTGCTGGGTTAGAATGAAGCCCAAGTGTCTCCATGGCAACAGCACTGGGTTCCCTCATTTTCCTTCGGCCTTCTTAGCACACCCCCCTTTTCTTTCATCATCCCATCCCCCACTTCAGGGCTGGGGGTGGGGTGTGCTCCCCCTACCTAGACACAGCTCAGCAGCTGTGAGGCTGGCTCTGCAGTACAGCCAGCTACCCACACCCTGTCGCAGCTAGCTGCAGGTTCCCCCGAAGGACCTGTCTCCTTCCAGGGGTCTCATCTGCCGCCCACAAGCCCCTGCTTTCTTCTCTCCAATTAAGAGGCCTCCTGGCAGCAGCCAGAGGCAGGAAAACAAGGCAGTTAGTCACTTAGCTTCCGTTATCAACCTGGATCATGTGGCTGGCTCTTTTAATGGCTGTCGTCATGACAACGGGAAGCCAGTCCCTGCTTGCTCTGGGAACCAAAACAAAATTAAGGGGTGGTGGCAGGGAGGGGAAGGCAAGCCATGAAGGAGTCAGCTCAGAGTTGGTGGGCCTTGGCTGGAGAAGGAAGCATCCCTCTGACATTGATCCAACCCCTGGGAAGCGCAGGTGAACATGGAGGATGCTTACACATAGTTTATTCTGCCCACTGAGTCATTTTCATCCCTATTATGACAAAATGGTCACCCAGACACCCGCAAAGATAAAGAGAGATGCTTCCGGGAGACTGTGATTGACAAGCCCCTGCATTGCCCCATCCTGCAAGCTTGCAGAAGTTTCTGCTCAGTGCTGGTGCCTGTGCTTTGGTCTGGCTATGTCAAGACCTCACACACCTTCTGCAATCCTCTTTTCATTTCACTGCTGGGTCTTCTGGGGTCTGTCTCCTCCGGAAGAATGTTTCCCCGGGAGACCAGGGAATCCTTGTCCTGGTCTCTTCAGTGCCTATAGACCCTCTGTAGCGAAGGAATCCAGGACTCGACTCCAGCTCTGGTTGAAATACGGGCTCCTTCCTGACCCACACGATGGGTATTGGGTCCTGATAGCTCCCCAGGCTCGTTCTGGACAGAAGTCCCAGCCCCACAGGTTCTGTGGGTGGTTGGAAGATGGCACAGCTCAGAGCGGGTTTATACAGCTGTCTGGCTATCTAGGAAAGTCCTCTGTCACCTCTTCTGTGAGGAAGAGGGAGGTTGTGGCACGCAGGGGTGTGGCTCATGTGAGCCCAGAAGAGTACAGCAGAGAAGGTCTGCTGATTAGAGTGTCAGCAAATTTCTTCCTATCCCTCTAAAGCTGGGAGGTGGGCAAAAGAATCTGTAGACGGAGGGGTAAGATTAGGGGCCAACTCGAGAGCTCAAAGATGACAGCCTTCCTCCTGCTACCCTGCACCGAGTCTGTCCCCTTCAAACGGCCAGCTGTGTCCAGTAGCGTAATGAGAACTGTGTCACCCCCATTGTCACCGCAAGGCTCAGATTTTACCCAGACCTGGATGGAGAGCGTACTCCTTGGCTGTGAGTCTGGGTAAACTCTGGTCCCTCTCGGCTGGGTGTTGTTAGAAGCCACTTCCCTACCGTGAGCCCCGGTTCTGTCGCTGCCATTTTCATAAGGTCACTATGTTTTGTGGGCACAGCACAGAAAAGCCCCCAACAGACGCTCAGATCCCCGAGTGGCAGTCCTTGGAGTGACTGTCCTCCGGAAGTAAGATTTAGAAACTGGAAGTTTACGAGTGAATCCTGTTCAATAATCTGCTGGTTCCAGCGGCTGTCCTTGCCTACCTCAAGGCTCGAGAGCTTACTCCACTCAGGCCCCAGTCAAGAAGGCAGCTCCCTCCAAACCCAGTGGTCTCCAGGATTGAGGAATCAAACAGATGTGTGTCACAGGACAGGGGAACACCCCCACAGCCTTTCTAGGAGCACAGCTAGATTGGTAAGGACCAGGCTTGGGACATGGGGCCCCATGTGTTCCTCAGCAGAGAGGGAAATGAAGTCCTAGTGAGGGGAGGTGTGACTCACGGATGACGTTGAGGGAGCTGGTGGCACAGGCTGGACTAGGATGTCTCCTAACTTCCCCAGAGGCACCGCTCATCCTCTCTGCTACAGCCATACCCTCTTTTGTCGTTAACAATGGTGGGGGGTTCATGTCAGACTCACAGCCAAGGAGTATGCGCTCCATCCAGGCCTGGGTAAAATCTGAGCTACAATCTTTCCACTTTTAACCTAAGACCTTTCCTCCAAAGGGCGGGAGTATGAGTTTGTGGGGCTGGGGTCTGAATTGTACGCGTCTCATGTCTTCAAACAGAGCTTTCCAAAGACTGAGCTAAAAGCTTCTAGGACTTTCTGAGGGACACCCCCCCCCATCTATCTATCTTACACATCACCTTATCTGAAAATTCTCGGATCTGCAGCCAGTCCTGGAGCTGGTTCTTTTAGACAAAAAGGAATAAGCTACACACAGAAGACACACCCACGAGCCCCAAGAGGAAGAAGGTGCCAGCAACAAGTCCCAGCCTCCAGCTGCCCAGGTGGCTGCCACCAGGAAGGGAGGGCCTCCTGGGTGGCACCCGTCCGTACACACACGCTTGCATCACACAGGTGTACACACAGGCACAGACACACACCCATGCTCAGGAAGCAAGCGACAGACTACAGCCTGGTTCATGGATTCACAGCCCAGCAATCTCTTGGGATAAGAACCCCAAAATGAAGAAGAGGCAGTGGGGGGGGGCAGGCTGAAGGAGAGGGTGGAGACAAAATGGGGAGGGTAACACCACACTACACACATATACTCAATCTTACTCATTCACACAAATACACAAATATGGAGACTCACACAAACTTGGTATCTCCAGGTAAGTGCACATGTGTTTCCCATACACACATGCACAGCCACATGTGTTCGGCCAAGCTTATCTACACCTAAAAGGCCCACAGACATCTAAATGCCACCTCAGCCTTCTAAGCCGTCTCCACTCCCAGGGCCCTGGGAGGTCAAGCTTGGGCTCACAGCTGTCGCTTTCCTCCCCGGAGGCAGGCAGCCACTCCTGTTTAATCCTGTGTGCATGGCAGGCACGCAAGAGGGGGACAGCTGCCCTGTGACCCTTAAGAGCTCTCCCAGACAGAGTCCCTGGCACCTAGAGGTGGCTCTAAGGACTGAGCATCTGGGGTGGAGAAGGGGAATAGCTTCATGATTCATAATTGAACCTCTCCCTCGCCCCAAACCTGGGGACATTCTGCATCACTATGGAGGAGCCCCACATCACCTTACCCCACCCCAGGAGTGAAAACCACCCACCTGCTCCTCCACAAGGAACGGTCCCACCTAGACTCCTACCATTCCCACACCTGGAGAGTCTCATACCCCTAAACACCCAGGACCCACCCCCACCCCCGAACCCCTCCCCGGCCCCTGCACTGGTCAGCCATGCACAGTCACTGCCAGAGGGATGACCACGGTGGCCCTGTCACCCTGGAGTGGCTGTCCCTACCTCCTTCTTCACGGTGCGCAGCAGCCTCTGGCGGGTCTCGGCCTCTGCGGGACAAGCAGGGAAGGGTGGTGAGCTGAGCGGAGGCTGAGGGGCCTGGCCGCCCTCCCGCCGCCCGCCCATGCTTACCCGCAGGTACTGAAGCCATGGTTAGGGCTGGTCGGTGCGGGGTGCAAAGGGTCCCCTCTCCGCGTCCTGCAGCAACAGCGAGGGGCGGGGCCGGCGGGAAATGATTGACAGCCCAGGATGTGGACGTCAGAACCCTCCCACTCGCCCCGCCCGCGAGACCTCAGCGCCGCCTCCTGGACAGTATAAAGCAGAGAGCGTCCTGGCAGTCCTCCAAGGCACCATCCTCACAGGCCTCCTGCAGGGCATCAGTATCATCCGGTGCCAGCTGCCAAGAGGAACCTAAGATATGGCACTCCGGTGCATACCCTGTGTCTCCCTCCATCCATGCATCATTAAAATGGGGCAAAGCCAACATGGAGACACATACCTCGTCAGTGCAGAGACTGAGGCAGGGGGTTCAGCCTGGGCTCCAAAGTCAGGTCTTGCCTCCATAAAACTTGATTCATCCTGTACAAAGTGGATATAAGTTCTAGAATGATCTGATTATCAATTGAGATGTTTGATCTGTAATTCTCAACACAGACCAGAAAAAAGCCTGGTGGCTATAAAGGGTAACTGCTGCTACTGCTTCATCTCCTCCTCCTCTCTGTTTCTTTTATAGACTCCGCTGAGATATACTTTTCTCCCCTGGAAGAGGCGAACCTCGCCGGTGGCTCCCTCCTCTATATTGGGAACTAGGTTTCGGTCCTTTATGTTTCTACTCCTACACAGAGCTCCCATAAGCCAGAATCTCCAGTCCTGGGTAGGACAAAGGCAGGTTCCACACAGAGCCTTCACCAGTTACATCCTAAACCCCCGACTGTGGCCTCCAGAGAGAAATCAGGTCAACAAAATCCACTGAGCACCTCCAACGTGCCAGGTCACAGCGTTGGAGAGTCTGAAGCATGGGCACATTGCTGTAGCTCTTGGACGGTAGACCGTAAAACATCTGAGTGAGTGGTAGTGAGGTGGAAGGTTCTGGAGAGAAGTGGAGTGGACATAAGAGAGGCACCAGTGAGAGGGACTGACACCTGAAACAGGGAAGCTGTGTTTTCTCACTGAACAGAGGGAAAGGAGGAGGCTGGGGATGCCGGGGAATAAGAGTCCGTGAGGTAAAGGAACAGGAAGATTAAAGGCCCCAAAGTTGGGGTGCGCCTGCCTGAACGACAGCACGAAAGAAGGTCAGAGGCACCGAGTGGCAAGGCAAGACTGACTGTGGTTCGGCATGGGCCAAGACCCTGTAGGCTCCCGGAGACCATACATTAAATCAGCAAGGACTCCACCTTCTTCCTCCCATACCCAGCCCCTCCACTCAGAAGAGCTAGGGCTGGCAGCAATGATCCCAGAGCCCCTCTTATGTGTGCTGGTAGGCTTTCAGTCACAATACTTCCTCACCCTCTCCAGTGAGGTGCTTGGTGCCTCCAGGATGCCAGAGAATGGGAAATAAGAACTTGACAAAAAAATAAGAATAAATTAAGGACTTACAATGTGCCGAGCTCCGGCTGCAGAAGCTCGCTGATCCACCTACCTCCACCCTCCGTGATCCTTACCCACAAAGAAAACCAAGCCCAAACCTTGGGAGAATTTTCTTCAGGTCCATAGAGCAAGCAAGCAACAGTGTAAGTCATGGACCATGTGACTCTCCTCACTAGGGCACGCTAAGTAGATCTGGGTGAGTTGGAGTCGGGAGCTTAAGCCTCGATTTAGAAACATCAAATCAGATGTTTCTGTTTTCCACACCAAGCCCTGCAAAATTTCTTGGGATAACCCTTGAGAATGCAGGATTTTCCCCTAATATAAATGACTATCTAGACCCACAGCAGTGGCCATAGTGGGGACTGGACATTGCCTTAGGTCTGAATCCCAAGCCTTGCACTCTGTCCGACTTAACTATTACTGTGATGAAACACCATGGCCAAGAGCAAGTGGGGAGGAAAGGGTTAATTCGGCTTACACTTCCATATCACTGTTCATCACTGAAGGAAATCAGGATGGGAACTCAAGCAGGGCAGGGACCTGGAGGCAGGAGCTGATGCAGAGGCCATGGAGGGTGCTGCTTCCTGGCTTGTTCCTCATGGCTTGTTCAGCCTGCCTTCTTATAGAACCCAGGACCACCAGCCCAGAGGTGGCACTCACTACCTGCACCGAGCTGGGCCCTTACCCACCAATCACTAACTAAGGAAATGCACTACAGGTTTGTGTACAGCCCAAACTTACGGAGAGATTTTCTCAGTTGAGGTTCCCTCCTCTCTGGTGTTTGAACCTTGTGTCAAGTTAACATAAAATTCGCCAGCACAGCTTTCTTCTTGTCGGTTTGACACACAAACACATCACTGTTAAACACATCACTTTTCCTTTCTTAATCATCCCCAAGTGCACACATTAATATAAACATCACAACGTTAAATATTACAAGTCTTACAAGTTCCACAGTCTTTACAAATGCAAGCATTTAAAATTCAGTCAATTTAAGAACCCGAAGCCTGTTTTAGAACCTAGAAATCTTTTTTAAAATTCAGGCTTTCAACTGTGAGCTCATATAAAATCAAAAATAAATGGAATTTCTCACTTCAGGAGAGGAGAACCAGGGCACAGTCACAATATGAAAAAAGCAAAACCAAACTCTAACTGTGTAATCTAATGCCCAATGTCTGGGATTCACTCACCATCTCATGGGCTCCTCCAAAGGACTTGGTCATTTCTTCAGCTCTGCCCTCTGCAGCACACACAGCTTGTCTTCCAGGCTCAGGCTGGCTCCGCTCCTCCACCCCTGCTGTTCTTGGTGGCCATCCATGGTACTGGCATCTCCAAAATCCTGGGGTCTCTGCTGCAACTGGGCTGCACTTTCGCCACTGGCCTCTCCTGGGCTCTCCTCAGGGATTCCAGCCCTGCCACACAGTGCCAGCCTCAGCTGCTCTCCATGACCCCTTCAGGCCTTCAAAGCCAGCACCACCGGGTGACTCTTGCACTACCAAGTTCAGCTGCCAGCATGAGGTACAACCTCGGCTGCCTCTGGACCCCAGCTTCTGTGTGCTGACCCTGAGGACGCTCTTCCCAGAAGACTTCCCCTCAGTGATGCTGGTCTCTTCTTGATCACAGCTGACTCTTCAGACCCAGCAGACCAGATACCACAGAATCTCAATTCTAAACAAATGCCCCGAGAGTCTTGGCTTCCCTCTGACACTTCACAAGACAGGCCGCCATCATATTCACTATCCTCCACATTCTTCTCTCTCAGGCTCCTACAGAACAGCCCACTGAGTCCTCAACACTCAACGTCTTTTCTAGTCCAGTGTTCCAAAGTCCTTCCTCGGTCCTCCCGTCTGACACAGCAACACCCCACTATTCTGGCACCAACCGTCTTAGTCAGGGTTACTAACTTGGTAAGGAAAAGGTTATGGATTACACTTCCACATCACTATTCCTCAGTGAAGGAAGTCAGGGCAGGAACTCAAGCAGGGCAGGGACCTGGAGGCAGGAGCTGATGCAGAGGCCATGGAGGGTGCTGCTTACTGGCTTGTTCCCTGAGGCTTGCTCAGACTGATTTGTTGTGGAAACCTGGACCAGCAGCCCAGGGGTGGCTCCACCCACAATGGGCTGAGCCCTCAAATCATCAATCAGCAATTAAGAAAATGCCCTACAGGCTTGCCTACGGCGCATTGTTATGGAAGAAATTTCTCAGTTGAGACTCCCTGCTCTCTAAGGACTGAGGCTTGTGTCGTTGCCTTAACAGTAGCGAGCTCACACTCTCTGTGAAGCTTGAGATCCTTTAGGAAAGCCTCCTCGTAGCCCAGAAACTTCTCCCGGGACCCACAACGCCATTGGCGACAGACGCCTGTGTCTGCAGCACCCTCTAGAGACGAACATGAGCATTGCGTGCAACACTAAGGAGAGGCACTTAAACCAAATACCTAAGAATTAGCTCCTTGTCGCTGTCCCTCACAAGGCATGCTCTCACAATTCACAATGTAGTAAGAATGATAACAGCTGCGACTTGCTGATGAGGCCAATGCTGTGCCGGGAACATCACGCGTGTTGTCTCATTTAAGCTGCCAAACAACTCCACGAAGGATCCTCCAGAGACAGCCTTTAAGACACATGACAGAGAGTAAGGGAGGTATTCTCAGTGCAGAGGAACCCCGGTTAGCTTGCCTGGCTCCTGGGGTGGGGAACCTAAGGTACACCCAGACAAGAGTAGGTCAGGCATTCCTCGGAGCGTGCTGGGTAAGAGGGACAATAGATTCCACAAGGAAGGACAGTTGACCGCCTTCCCTAGTGTGGGTGAGCCTTGTGCAGACAGCTGCAGATCCAAAGAGGAGAAAATGGCAGAGGAAGAGGACCGCCTCTCTGCAATCACTTAGACAGGGACACCTGAACTTTTTGGAGTTGAATTTAAATCAGAGTTTTGGCTCTTCTTGGATGCCAGCTTGTCAGACAGAGTTGAGCTGAGCCACCAGCCTTCCTGAATCTTCAGGTCTTGGAGATCTGAAGAGCTTGCACATCTCAGCGTCCATCACTGTATGAGCTGATGTTTACGACAATCTCTCTTCACGTTCATGCATGTGCACACAAAAAGTCTACCTCTGCAGCTGCAGGTCGCCCGCCTGTGAATTTAACCAACGGTGGGTAGGAAAGAAGTGACCATGGCAGCCTCTGTGCTGAACACGTGTGAGCTGATTTCACGCCATTATTTCTTACTTAGTACCACTTAGCGTCTATCACATGCCATTTGCATTGCTTTAAGTATTAGAGATCATGCAGAGAGGTGTATAGGAGGATGTGTGCACGGACGCAAGCCATCTGAGGGGCAGGTGCACCTGATAAGTTGGTATTTGTAAACACACCTGGAGCCCATTCTCTAGGGATCCCAAAGGATGGCTGCATATTTTATTAGTATATATTATATGTGTAGAGTGTGTATACATGCATGTAAATGTGTGCACATTTATATACATGCACATGTGTGCACCTCTTCTTCTCTGTTTCTCTGGAGAAGACAGATTAATACAGTTGTCACTGAATATTAATCTCCTCCCTCGCTCTAAAAAAAAAGTCAAGTTTGTCCTGGTGTTGCTTTCTGTCTTGGACACCTGCTTCAAAGGAGG